CTAGCTATTAGTGCACACCTGCACACGCATGTAAGCCTGCCAGTGATATAAATATGAGAGACTGAACCTGCTCTTCTTGGACCATAAACAAAAGTATTTCAGTCCAAGTAATAAGCTTCCCTTCTAATGAAAAGTTAGTTGCTGCCAGTTTCTGTAGCAGCTTCTAAAACACTCCAACACTGACCATCGCCAATTAAATTCAGTGTAAACAGCCTATGCTGCAGGCATTGTCCCAGGTCTGTGCAGCTATAAATCATCTGTCCACAAGCAAGAGAGACAATCAGCAAAGAACAGAAATAAAGGATCTTTCCTGCCAGGGTCACTGCAGTGCATGAGAAACACTGGAAACCCAAGCCAAAGCATCTGCAAGCCCTTGTGTATTCTGCTTTCCCGGTTTATTTCTTTTTCTGGATTTATATGCACAATGAAACAAATCTCTCCCCAAGCCCCCAGTCCTTCCCAGAGACCACAACTGCCTAAATGCTCTAGAAAACATTTTCAAGTAATAACAAGATCCACTTACAGGGAGGATATTAAAAGAGCCATGTGACTTCTTACAAGCAGATAGAAAAATAACCTTTTCTTACCTCCACACATCTGAGACAGGATAGCAGACTTGAGAGCTCTACCAGGAGCCCCAGTATTTTGGAGATTTCCATCCCTCGTGTACAAAGTGAGCAGAAGGTTCTTCAAGCATCACATTCTGGTTCAGCGGCCAGGGTCTGCTTTCCCACGCTAGCCGCTCCGCACCGGAGGGAGCGGGGTGCCTTTTCCATTGCTACGCAGGGAAAGGGATGTGAGGAAAGGGATCAAAGTTCCCCGCAGCATCTTGGAATTTCACTTTCCCGTTCTTCTCCTCATCTCTTCTCATTGATTCTTCTCTTCAGAAAGGGGAAGAAGAGAGGAGAGAAATAAGGGAACAGACCATGTCCCCGAATTTCTCTGGCACATTCGGAGGCGAGCACAAGCGCTGGGGCACAGCCCTTAGCCTCTCCTCGCCCCGCTGTCCCCTCCTCTCCGCAGCCTCCCCCGTGCTCCAGGTACGCGCTGCTCGCAGGGCCAGCCTCCGCCTCCCCGCCCCTTGTGCCCAGCGGCGGGGCCGGCCGCCGCTCCTCTCCTCTCCTGCAACGTCCTTCCCCAGCCGCCTTTTCTCCTCTTCCCAAGGCACAGAGGCTGCAGCACGGCGAGGAGCTGGGGCTGCGTCCTATTGCAAAGCCCCCAGCAACAGCTGGGAAAGGCAACGGCGTGTGCGCGTACATTTGCCAGAGATTAGACTCCTTGGAAGGAATCTGGACTTTATCCCCCCCACCGCTGCCTCCTCGATTAGCAGCTTGCAGCTTCCCGAGGTCAGCTCTCCTCAGATTTGAACCCAGGTAAATGAGACCCAGAAAACTCTATGTCAAGCAGCTTCCAGATCTCCCCCAGAAAACCCACAGGTGGCACAGCCCTCTCCAGCGTGCTCCCAATTTTCAGCCCTCTATCTTGCCATCGTGGGTATTGCCACCAGAGAACTTTGCCATCGAGTGTCTCCTTGACCTTGAGCTATATTTTCCCTCAATTGCCTAGAATGCTTTCCAGAGGGTTAATCATTATGGTATTACTGTGAACAATCCTATCCCACGGGGGTTTTTAGTATTTTCAGCTTGCTGGTCCTTCATATGAATTAGGGTTCAAGGCTACAAGCTTTAAACACTATTAAATCTAAGAAAGCAGTTGGGTCTTTGAAGCTATTCAGTCTTGGAAATACTTTTTTTACGCATTCCTGGTGCTGCTTCTCTGCTCAGATCCAGCTGTAATGTAACGTAATGGGCATTTCTTATATTCTGATTTTGGAGCAATGAATTCGTGGTGTTCTACAGCATGAAACATGAAGGTCACCTTTAGGAATGAGCTCACTTCTGGCCAAGCCTGCTGAATAGCACTTCCAAAGACACCTTCAGCATAAAAACAAGGAACAGGCTGCTAAAAATCTACTGACTTGACAAAAAGCCTCCTTTTTTTCTTCCTTCACTTTTGCCCATTACTCACTTCATGTGACAGTTCTGTGTTGCCTCATCCTCAGTCACACATCAAAGGCAAGGAAATTTCCCTCCATGCTGGATCTTTTACAGGAGCCACTAATGAGAAAAAGAAGCTGTTTCTGGAGTGGATTTGGCCAAGAATTACACTCAGTTAATCAGGAGCAAATCTCCTATATCCTCATAGTCAGGGAGGCAGACGATCAGGGCAGCAGGGGATGGAAATAGCTTAGATGCTGCATCACACTATAACTCTCAGGCAGCAGTAACACAAAGGAGCTGCACAAAATAAAAAATATGGGACTGTGTTGGAATTTAGAAACACTTATTCCACTGAACACACAAGGAAAGGACATACTGGAAACAGGAACAGAAATTCTATTAGCATTCAGAGAAAACTAGCTCCTTACTAGAGGTTGTTGATGCTCATTCAGAACTCCATCCCATGAGACACTCCCTGTTCAGGCCTCTGACACACAGGGTTTCACACCTCAAGCAGAAGTCTGCACTGGATTTTTCTCATGGTACCTTCTAAGTTGCCTCCCTGTCAAGGCAAAGTTTTCCTAAATAAAGTGATTTAATAGATAAAGTAATTTTAAAGGAAATACAGAGCAGTACACCAAAAGCAATAGAAGTCCAAGTCTGTATTCAATTTCTGGAAGAATGATGACCTGGGAAGACACAGTGGGTTTTACAGTTGTCTCCTCTCTGGCAGGTACTGTTTTGGAACTATTTCCTTCTTACCAAGACTCCCCTTGTTTTTCTCGTAATGACATTCCTTGAGAGAGGTGGATCTCAAATTCTCAAAAGCTTCTCATGACTACTCTCCATGGTGGAGAGGAAGACCTAAAAGGGAATTATACCAATATAACTACTGCAGTTTAGATCAGTAATGTATCTACAGGTAAGGTAAAACATCCTGAACTTTCTTGTATGGGCAAATTTGAAGTAGTTGTAAATATCTAAATCTGCTAACAGTAGTCACCTTTTCACCATGACATATGCATAGTTCTATTACAGGAAGTCTGTGATTCCCTATAGAGTCTGTCTTGATTTTGCCAGATTTTCCTGTATTGACCCTTCTCAACAAGAAATGTCATCTTCTAAAATGTCCCTGGCTCTCTGAAATTACAACCTATTTCTCCTGAACTAGCAGGACAACTGTTCATCAGGACCAGCTGAAATATTAATGCTACATCCACAGTGAAAGCCTAAAAGGAGTAGTTAACAGCAATCACACCCAGAGCTGGTATAGTAGTCAAGCTATAAGGTACAGGAATAAGACCAAGGAATTCCAGCAGATCTGCTTAAGTCCTTGTAAATCCGACTTAGGAGGGTAGAACAGCTAGTCAGCTTTTGTTTAATTCTTTCCTCACCACGCAATCACATACAGGTCTCTGTAGCAATGTTCTTAACCAGTGTGCTCCACACCAGAACAGTTTTCCTCACCCCCCAGCAACAGCACCATGGGATGGTACAAACCCAACAACTCAGAACAGTGTTGGTCCCTGTGGGTACCACACACGAACCATTAATGGAGTGATCCTCAATACCAGCATGTTACAGAATGCATTCAAACACCTAATATAAGCCTAGTGGTGAGATACAGGAAAATGGCCAGCAGCTGAAATTGCAAAGGACAATCAGTAACTGGAGGGTTTTTGGTTACAACAAAAGAAGCAAAAGAATTGCTCAAGTACTTTTAAAGGAAGCAATGTAAAACCTGGGTGCACCTGAAAAGCACTGCTGCTTATAGTAGACACATAAAAGGTTAGACAAAACCCCAAACAACTGAATTTGTGAAGCTCACCATGAAGCAGTATAATACAAAAATAGCTGTTAAGATTAGTGGGAGCAGTGCAAAATTTCAAAAGTAAAAATAGAAAAAGGTATTAAGTGTCTCTGTTACAGCCTCTTATGTAAGACTGTTCCTCACAGACACTAGAATTTGGTACATTCAGCACAGGTGCTATCTTAAGAGATGCCTAACACTTTTATTCCAAGTTTTAATATGAAGAAAAATAATCAAGAGAGGTAAATCAGTTTCTCACTCCCAATCTAGTTTATATCCTTCAGAAATGAAGGAACAGCAAGTAGCATTCTTTTTCACAATGTCTTCTGGACAGAAAATGCAAAATGCCACAGAACCAGTGTTTTCCCAAACTCAGATGTGGATACTGTGTTCTTACTGACTCCAAGTCCTCTAAAAATACCCAATTATGTCATAATAGCAACAAAAGAATAAGCTACCCTGGATTATCCACTAATGAGCTGCTGTAATTAACCACTAAGCAAATGTTGCTTCAGTAACTTGAAAGCCTTCACCTGACCAAAATTTTTGTGATGCAAGTATCAGCCTGGGGCTCCAGAGGACTCAGCTCCAGAAACTCCACAGCCACCCATGGGTAATCACACAGTCTGTGTGTGCCTGACTCTCCTCTTATTCTGCTTCTTCTACATGCCCCAAAGAATTACTGATATAAATGGTTATACCATTAGTTCTCCACGACACTGCATCTCCCCCACCAATGAGGTACTGTTCCCAAGAACCTGCCTGGAGTTTTGTGGTACTGCAGTGGAAACTGCCCCTCCCCACTCCCCCCCAATCAAAACTAAAAATGAATTACATTATTTCAATTATCACTCCATGCTTTAACTTTCTCTACCCCTTTTAGTTTATTTTACCAAAAAACAATGAAACATTTTGTTGTAGATTATGAGCTGCCCAAGTCAAACACCAGTCTTGCTTTATTACAGTACAGACAAACTCATGTGGCACCATACCTGTCCCACCTGCAAATCAGAGGGTCTAAATCACAAACTTCCATGTTAAAGTTATATTTGATACTTACCATTGTTTTATGTATGAACAAGGTATTTTGCTGGAGATTTTTTCTAGATTTTACAGCAGGGGAAATTTTAAAAATTTCAAGAGGCACCAGATTGTTTATACACACATGTGAGAGTATGAGCCATCATACCATCAATTACTACCATCATTACTAATTCTAACTTGGCTCAGTGTTTGAGCCCACTTTTTGATAGCAGCTCCAGAGCTGGGCAAGAGGCTTGCACATGAAGAAGTCATGCCCTGTTAGGAAATGCATTTACATGACTGCCTAGAAGGTTTTATTTAACAGTGAGTACCTGAGTAGGCAAGCTGAACAACACACTGCAGAAATCCCAACACTGCAAGACCCAAGAGTCTCATGAACAAAATCAGCTGATACTCAAGATGGGTGGTTTTTGCTCTGGAATCAAAACCAGGGTCAAGACCCACGCATCACCTGACATCAAAAAATCACTCGATTTGACTTTCCTTTTTTTTTTACCAAGACCCCAACTTTAATTGCTTGTCCACAGTCTCTTTCATAAAGTACATTATACATAACGTGTGATCTGAGGAAACCTCTTCAGGAGCTTGTTCACTTTGCTTGAAGGCAAATTTCCCCTGGATGACAGGGTGTCCTCACTTTGATTCCTGCGCTCTTTCTGAAAGAGAAGAAAACTCCTCAAAATATTTACAGCAGTTTATTTGCAGAGTTGATGCTCATTCCCAGAGACTACTACTAATTGTACAGGGGTGTTTCTTTCAGGAAAATGCTGTTTCTTTAAGGAACACTTACCATAGCACTTGGTTAAATAATTACAAGCTGATGACCTTTAAATAATGCAATTAATGACTGACATCTTGTGAAGATTATATCCTTCCATATTCTTAGTTAACGATGATATAAACTTCTGGTAACAGCCCAGATTTTTTCTTTTTAGTTTCTGTTATTTTTTCATCTTTGATTCTTTGCCATCTAGCAAATAAATTGTGGATAATTTTTCACTTATGCGGTCAAACAGCAACAATAAATAACTATTTAAATGGTGACACTGTTATTGAAGGAAAATGGAAACCTGAAACCAGTTTAAGGACAAGTTTAGTACATATACTTACCTTTAGTCTCTTTTGAAAATTATTTTATTTCAAGCTTGTCATAAAGTATTATTATAATATGTCAATATATATTATATAATCAGAAACCCCTAATTTTCAAGCAGTATGAAACTTATTTTTCAAAAATGTCTGGCCTTTAAAGTCAGAAACAGGTTGGAAAAGACCTCCAAGATCATTCAGTCCAACCTCTAACCAATGGCCACCCTGCCAACTATACCATGGCACTGACTGATACATCCAGTCATTTCCTGAATGCCAGCAGGGACGGTGACTCCACCACCACCCAGGCCAGCCTTTTCCAATGCTTCAGCACCCTTTTACTGAAAAAGTTCTTCCTGATGTCCCTGGCACAGCTCAGGGCTATGTCCTCTTGTCACATCATCAGTTGCCTGGGAAAAGAGGCTGACCCCTGTCTGGTAATTGTAAAGAGCAGTAACATCTCCCTTGAGCCTCTTCTCCAGACTAAACAACCCCAGCTACCTCAGCCCATCCTTGTAGAAGCCTCTCGATCCTTCACCAGTTTCATTGCACTTAGTTGCTCAAATGGGTCACAATCAAATCCTCCAGAGAACATTATTCTTACTGGCACACAAAAAATGACTGGAGGCTTCCTCCTTTCCTACCACTAGCCTTTAAGAACATAAAAGAGGCCTTAATTACTTCTGCCTTGGCCACGCAGTCATAGAACGTCCTGATCTCCTCGGCACAAGGCGCGTCGTTGAAGTCATTCTGTTTCCAGCACGCCATCATTACTGACATCTCCGTAATGCACGTTGCCTCTGAAGGGAAAGACACAACCAGAAACCTCAGATGTTTGGGATTTCATGCTAACAACCTCCACAGTGCATACATCTCCAAAGAAGTTTAAGACGGGGTAGAGGCAGGTGAGAAAATGCATAACTCAAGATCCCAGCTTTGCTTTGGGCAGACAAGTTGTTGCTCCCAGAAAGCAAAGCGCTGCAGCCATCCAGCATCTGACTGCATTTTTAACGTGTCTGACTCACGTACGACACAAACTCGAGATTGCAGTGTGAGGAAGCGATCCTTCCCAAAGAACCCACGCGGAATTCCATGGCCCACACCGGCTCCTCCCCTCTTGCCCTGAGGAGCGCAAGGCGCCGCCGAGCTCTGCCAGCAGCGCGGCCCCTCCCGGGGCACAGCTCACCGGCAGCTCACCTGTCGACTGCTCCCGGCGGTTCGCCACCTTGTCGGCCAGCGCCAGTGCCCGGGGCGGGCGGAGCGTCGGGGGCCGCTTCTTGTTCCGCCACTGCCCCGACGCCCAGCGCGTCACCCAGGCGGGGTAGGCGGGCGCCGCCATGTCCGCGCGCGGGCGCCCTGAGGGCGGTGCCGGGCGCGGGAAGCCCGGCCCGCCCCATCCTGCCCGTCAGGCCGAGGATAGGCCATGGCAATGGAGTAACTCCCCTCAGCTTCCGCACTGGGCGGGGGCAGTGCGACACTGCCCCCACAACCTCCTACCAACAGCTAACTCCTTCTGCGGCAAAAATAACAAAGGAAGGAGCAAACACTCTCAGCCAGAGTAGCAGAAATCATGATTGTCTCAAGTAATTCAGACGGAATTAAAGGAATCACAGAATGGGCGAGGCTGGAAAGGATCACAGTGGGTCATCTGTGCTCAAGCAGGGTCCCAGAGCACATTGCACGGGATTGCATCCAGACACTCACAGAGTATCTCCAACGAGGGAGACTCCCCAGCCTCTCTGGGCTGTTCCAGTGCTCGGTCACCTGCAGAGTGAAGTTGTTATTCATGTTCAGATGGAACGTCCTGTGCATCACTTCCTGCCCGTCACCTCTTGTCCTGGTGCACAGCGCCATAGAGAACAGCCTGGATCCCTCCATCCCTTTGGCACGCTCCCCTCAGATACTGTGGACATGGCTGAGGTCCCTCTCACCTGTCTCTTCTCAAGTTCTTCTGCAACTGTATAGAAACTCTTCTTGGTGCTCCAAACTCTCACCATTCAGCTCCCAGCCCCTCATTTCTCTCCGTTACATTACAGCTGGATCTCCCCTGCACGGTTCCTACTGTTCCTTCGAAGAAGACACTGAAACTGCTGCTTCCAAAATTGTAGCATCGTTCCCACAGCTTCATACTCTGATGGAAAAAACTGTTCCCAGAAGTTTCTTCCCAGATCCTGGAAGTCCCCAACTGATCTGACAGGTTCTGGAGTGCTCATGTCCCCAGCCAAGAAAGGCAGGCAATACAGAAGGCACAGGAGCATCCCAAGGGCTGGGATACAAACAAGTCTCTGCACAGCAGGAGGGACAAGGTAGATGCACAAAACTGAGGAGGTAGATGCTTAGATGCTGAACACTGGGGACACAAAGCACTCAGATCCTTGTCTTGTGCAGTTCCTGAATATGCCATTTTACCACTGTATCTGGAACTGCTGGAGTCCTCTGACCATATACAGAAGACTACATCAAAAATGCTTTTCTTTGCATTTTTGTTTTCCCACAGGACACTGATTTGGATTAAAATATACTCAACCTCCTAGACAAAGCCCAAAGCACACCCCTTTGCCTAGTCAAGGAAGTTAGAGACTTTGGAAATTCCATTAACTTGAGCTAAACATCACTAGACCTATACCACATTATTCTCAAGATGGTCACTAGAATTTAGTGCATCTGCTGACAATAAATCCTGGTATATCCAATTCTATAATTATTTTTGTGTTACTTGTAAAATAGTACATACTTAGAGTCCAAATTAAAGAGTATGAGAAGGCATGTTCAAGTAAGCAAATTATTTTTTTTAGCTCTCTTCTGGTATTGCATTTTCATCTCTTAAGGTCAAACACTTTCTGGAAATTCTGAAACATTTTGGTAAGCAGGATGTTTCTGTATTCCCATTTTTTTTCTGAAAAAAAAGGAAACAAGCTATCCTTTGAGCTTGACTACCAGTAGAGAAGAAACAGGCTGACACCTTCAAATTAGGCCAGAGAGCTTGCACTGTACAACTCTGAAGAACAGAGACTTTGAAAATCCCAGACAGGAACATGAAATACATTTCAGTAATCCCATTCATGTAAGGTTCAGCTATTCTTGGTTTTGCCTCTTCTAGCTACCCTTCCTGCCTTACTGCTAGCTACCCACCTTCCCCTGCTGCATTTGCCTCCTGCAATGTCTAACTAGATGGGCAAGAAACAGTAACAAGGAAAGACAAAAGTACTGTGATTGAAGAGAAGCTGAACTGCACTCCCTGTAAATCAGCCTCCCTTTTCCCAAATTACATTAGCTAATGGTGGCAGCACCTTCAAGTCCTTTCACCTTCAAAAGCTGATCTCTCATTTAAGTAATTCCAAGAAAAATGAGGTGAGGTAGGAGAGGAGGGGAGGCTGAGAAAGAGAAAGGCAAACTACACAAGGAGAATTGTAATAGCTTCCTGTAAGTTACTGCTGTCTGCATTAGAACTAATTTTTTGGCATCAGTCCCATACTGGAGCCTCAGCAGAAGAGATTCCCAAGCAGACAGAATAAGGTACATGATGGTGTCTGCACACACCATGCAGAGATGTCTGAAGCAGGACACCATTTTATTATTAAAGATTAATTTTTAATATTACACATGAATTTTAAGGAAGAATGCAGAACTACAAAAAGGCTGTGTTATTGAATAGCCAAATGCCTCTACAGCCTGTATTTTGTATAGCTGATAACGCCAAGTCACTAATGGATGGGACAGAAGTGATGACTTTATAGGGACAGTCAGAAACTGAATTCCCTCAACAGTGAACCCCAGAGATGTTTTACTGTGAATCTTGAATGTACAACTATAAAAACCATGTAAAACTTTTGCTAATTAGCATTTACAACTTTTTTTTTTCTTGTATTGACACATTTAAAGCTGAATCCTAGCTTGCGTTTCAGCTGGTCAAAACCAAAATAAAACACAGACCTTAAAATATTAATACTAGATTTGAAAAGAATATATATCACAACTGAATAAGGGCCACATATGATGCTACAGTAAATGCTATGCCACAGTTAAAAACAATGCTAGCAATGCTGTGATAAAATACACCCTTTAAAATGAGACTGCTATCTTAAATATCTCTTTAAGAGATGAGAAATTACACCATGTATTCTTCACTTTCTGGTGTAGTTATGTGAAATGTCCAGATACAACCTAAAAATCAGTTAGGGGACGAGGCTAAGAAATCCACTGTATTGGCAAAAAAGAATAGAGTTGATATCCATGTCTTTTTGACTGCCTGGATCCAGCTTTCAGGTAAATTCCACTATATTCACACAAATGTACCCTGAATGTACCATACCAGTCCATAATGCCCTCACCAACCACACTTTATTCTCATCTGTCTCACCCTGACCTCCTTAAACCAATTTAATTAGAGATGCCTTAAAATTTAAAGCACTTCCACTTGAACTTTAGCAGTGAAAGTAACCAGTTTGCTGAGATTCCAGGTGGTTCAGACTTCACTCCTGCCTGCTGAGCTATTGTGTTTGGAAAGTATTAGCACAATATATTCATGCACTCACAACTAGACATGTCACACCCCATCCCAACTCCCACAACAACCCTTATCCTGTGCTATCTCAAATAGATCAGCTGCCCTGCATTTTCCTGTCAACCTGAGTAGTTCTGAGCTGCCATCCCTAATTCCCAGGATCTAGGAAACTCAGCCCATTTCCACTGCAAATTACCTGTGCCTCCTTATTTGCTCAAAGATGCCACAAAGTATTATCATCTGCTCTGATCCCCAGTACCATCTCTAGCTGAGACACTTGCACATTAAATGGGTCTTTTCTGCAGTAAAAATGTATTTAACAGCACACAAATGAAGATGCTAGTGGTGTCAGAGTTCTGGAACAAATCCAGTAGCTCCACTCCTCTCTATCCTTCCTAATCCCTCTGCAGGGCCATATATCTCTCCCTGCCAGCTCTGAGACAATGGACCATAAAGAGAAGTACAGTTTGTTAGAGCCTGACGCGGGCTTTGGCTCAGTTGGTCGTATCACTAAAAGGATTTTATCTCTGATTAATGTCAACCTGTCAGGTCTCTGGTCTCTAGGCAGAATGAAGGAACCTGGCACCCTGTATGTTTCCAATTAATACAACTTCCCAGAAGGTGCCTGGAGATCCATCAATAACTTTAATTAAATACAGCCAAATAGATGACAACTAATGATTAAGGGAGTGGCTCACTTGGGACTATGGCTGAAGAGTGTGTACGGCAGGACAGTAAGCAAGGCAGATGGCTGCTTGTCTAACACAGCAATGCCTGCTAAAACTCTGATGTCCCTGATGGCTGAGTTTCAACTCAATTTATCCTGTTCCCAGTCCTTTAGAAGTTTTTCTTCCCCACAACTTAAAGCTTCCCTCAGTCAAAATGCAAGAGGGGCATTTCTGCTGTTTCTCCAGCTGCTGCTGCACTTTGCAGACCATTTCCAGAGAAAGCAGCTCATTCTCTTTTCCCTCTAAACATACACATTCACTGCTGCTTGGATCTCATTCTACTTACCATTAGAGAGGACCCAGAGATCTTTCCGTTTGAAAACTACTACAGTGACTGAAATAAGAAAAGCCAACTCTTTCTGAACTCCTTTTGAGTTCTAGAAATCATAATGTTAGCTATCAAATCAATATTCTTCAGTGAGGTTATATGCTTCCTACAAATTGCAGTCCTTGCTAAAGGACAGAAAACGCAGACTACTAGTTCAGTAAATTAAATAATCAACTTCTAACTGAAAAAATAGGCAACATGTGGTACCAGAGTTTTGGCAGAAGAATGAGAACTGTGGCTTGCCCAATCAATTCAATGCCTTGGACTGCTAGATTTTTAACCTTCAGTCAGTTATTTGTTTCTTGTCTCTCACCTCTCAGAGGGCATACATTTATTCTAGCTTGTCAAGTCAATTCTGAGACACAGCATCAATAGAATTTACTGGTGTTTCATGTGAGCAGTAATGAGGAGATATTTTTAGAACAGTAATGCTAGTGAATAAAGCTATCCTGACAGCCTTGAAAGCCTCCCTCTAGTTACACAGTAAACAGGCACAATGCATGATAAGCAATGAAGACACTCACCCTAGTCTGCAGGATCCTGCCAAAGTGTTTACATGGGTAAATATCTTCAATATTTGCTATCTTTGATAAATTCCTTATTAGGATCAGTTTTTATGAATATGGGTACCTGCACTGTAAGAACTGTTGAATTGTTGAACCTGCACTGTTGAATCTATCATGTTCAGTCTGAGTATCACGTAGCCTTCCAGGAGACACAATATGAGTGATGACATTCAGCCACCATCTTGCTGGTCTGGATTTAAAGCAGTGAGAAATCCAGTTAGCCAAGAACAGAAATCAGAAAACTTTTCTCAAAATAATAATGCTGTAGTGACCTTCCTCCTTGTCTGCATTCACACACTTGCATTAGCAGAAAGACAACTAGGAGGGTAAATTGAATTCACTCTGGCCACGACTGGCAGTACACATTGGCACTAGACAGCAATCCTTTCAAATGCATTATTAAGTAAATTAACGGCAAACTCTTCAAGGGTATGACACCCAGCTTCTCCTCCTGTCTCCTCCAAATAACAGGAGAGAATGAAAGCAAAGCCATGGCAAAATGTTTACTCAACATTTTGTAGTCCTTGCTGTGCAGAGCAGTAGATGCTGTGAAGGTCAGTCAGCAGCACTGAACACAACTGCAACCACAACTCTTTATCCAGCTGGGCAGGATTCCCACCTCTCCTGTCCCTGCAGTTTGCCTGGCAGCTACACAAACTATTCAAACCATGCACTGAATAAATATTCCTTAATTCTTACACACCATACATAAAAAGTGAAATAAATTTACTATATTAATAGAGGCCACAGACACATGGTTTATAAATCATGGAAGTACTGTGACATAGAGGAGATGATCTATGCTAGTATGATCTATGACTACAGAAAAAAACACTGCAGATACAAAAGAAACAAGGCTTGGGTGAGCTTCACAGCTAAGAGTGGTAGCTAATACTCATTACCTTTTGAGAAGTTCACCACCTCTAAGACTGTAAAAAACAGTTAAACCTAGGAAGACACTAAAAACTCAGAAAAGAAAGCTATCAAGTGACTTGTGACTCAACTACAAACTGGAAGTTGTACTTTGAAAACCAGACAAAACCCATAGAATATCTGTAATCAATTTACTTTCAGATCTGTACTCTTTCCATACACACTTTAAGAAGATAGATGGCAATCAGAAATACTCATGCTTGGCAACAGTCATCAAGCTCAAAGCAACAGCCTTCTGTAGTACAGACACAGAGCAAAGCAATAAAGAAAGCCTGCAGGACCAACAAAATAACCTTGTTGGCTGTTGATTGTAATATACTGAGTACATGAAGTATATAGTCGTGAAGGAATACTATTGTGAAATAGCTAATGAACAAATCAGGGCCCCAAGGAAGTTTTTACCTACTTTGCTAGCTACTATTCAGCTTGCATCACCATATCTTCAATGCTACTGTTAGTTGAGAAACATGGTCATGTTTCTGAGCAGGAAGACAAAATGGGGCTTTGGACGTCACTCAGCAAGGACTAAGCAGGTGCTGATGCACATACTTATACTGGTACTTCCTCCTGTTACTCCTGTAAGGACAGTGCATTCAATGTAGCATGTCTAATTTTGGCAACAGTAGATACATTATATTATAGACCTGGAAATTACTATAAATGCTGCACTTCTGAAAAATCTACTTCAATTACAGGATAAAAGAGTAAAAGTAGCATGTGCTAGTACCTGGTTCTTATTTTTTATGTTTAGTACAAAAAGCAAGATCACAATTTCTCCTGGCTAGTCCACCAAACATTTGAACAAGAAACTGTTTTGAGATATTAAGAGAACGCAGTTAAAGAAGACTGAATTATTTTCTATACAGAAACATGAAGTGATGCAACTGAAGGCATTACTTCAAACAATTTACCTAAATATCATTAACTTGATTAGCAGAAGTCAATATTCAGAACTAAAGCAGCCTTAATTTGTTTTATCTTAATTTACTTCTCCAGCAAGTGGCCTCTTCAATCCTGAATACACATCTGTAATTTTTAATCTGATTTGAGCAATCCCGTTTAACGATTATTCTCCTAGGTATTCATGTCTCCCGAATAACTGAAAAAAAGGAACTTAAACCGATAAATACATTCTAGCTGAAGAATCGCTTGTTACTGTTATTAGAGAAGAGAGATAAAAAACCATTCTTCTCCTAAAAACAATTAGGTGAGAACAATGTACACTGTATGCATTTTCTACATTTATAAAAATCCAGTGATAGTCATGGGTCTGAAGTCTTTGCTGTCAAGGTGCCCTGATTTTAACATGGCAATATTTTTCTGTCACCTGAGAGGCAAACATGGAGATGATCATTACTTATACTGGTATTATACCTGTAATCCCATATCTATGACATTATAAAGGAGAATTTGAGTGGAAAGAAAAAGATATTAAGTGAAGCACACAGCACTAAGCAATAGACAGTGATGTAATTAGGAAGAGAATGTAGAGTCACTGCTGTTCCTAACTTTTACTGACAGACATCAAACTTCCCATAGCAATTGCAAAAACTGTCTTACAAAATCAATTTACACAACAGACTGTAGACTTTCATTACCAACAAACTGTCTTAAGCTCAGATAAACTCCGGCTCTTTAGTCAGTAGTTAACTTCTGAAGGAGGGGAAACGAAAAAAAGAAAATAGCATTATACCATCACAGACATCACTAGAGTGTGGCCATATTTGCCTGTGCATTTAAACCTTTGACCCTGAATTAATTAGTTTCCCTCCACTGCAAGATCAATTATTTCAGAAAGATACCCACTCTGGCAGGGAACAGTGGAGTTTATTTATATCTGTAAGCAATACAGGCTATGCAGCAAGGAAGATCAGTCCACAAGTTGTCACTCAGGAACTCTGGTCACAGACCAGGATCACAATGTGTTAGGGTCGGCAGAGATACAAAACCACCTCAGTGCACCTGGCTCTGATCACCCATTTCAGCATACAAAGACTTCACGACTTGTATCCAAACTGCAGAGACCACTGCAAAGGCACCATTGTGAAAATGTATTTGTCTTGGCAGAAAGCTGCACATACTCAAAAGGAAATAATCCAAGGCCACTGAATTGCTAGCATTAAGGAGATAACAGTAAATGGAGATTACAGATTTCAGATTTGATGGAAACTTAAAAGAACCAAAGTACAGAATTTTATTTTGTTCTACACAATACCAGGTAATACACTTTCTGGTGTGAAATACTTGGTTGAAAGTTGCAGCTTAAATAATTTGTTCTCCCATCCCATTGCACATATGACCTGCTAAGTCATCAAAAGAGGAAAATTAGGCAGAGAGTTAAGTGACCTCCCCACAGTTATTCAGTTAGCTTGAGAAGGAGCACTATCTGAGGCTTGGGGAGAAGAGACTTTATTGCAGCAATTTCATAAGGCACGATTGCTCTTCACAGATGTGTCTTTTTTAATTCCTTCACTGGAAAAGCCATTTGTTAATAGCAACTAAAAGTACATCTTAATGAAGAGAATATGTGATTGATAAAATACTTAAAAAAACAACTAATATTCTGAAGACTTTAAAAAATCCCTGAAATATCTTAGGGCACTTGAGTAAGAGCCTGAAATCATGTAAGACACAATATATGTACAGCAAATGCAAAAGAAGAGTAAATTCCTCTTTTGCCCCACATGTTGACACCTGCAAACCAGGAGTGGCTTCACACCACAGAGCTGAAACTCAAACCAAAGCAGTAACTAACATTTCCACTGCTGAAATCCAATCATAACAGAAACTCACTTTGTGCAAATTGTCTCTGTGAGAGTTTTTTTGGTTTTGGTTTTTCAAGGCAAACATTTGAAGAGAATAAGAATTCAGAGTCTCAACTTTCAATGCAATTTTCAAATCAAGCTCTTACAAAGATGGGTCAGTGTTGCCTTGTCCTCTTCAGAAAAATCTCATGCATGTAGTCCCAAAATCTTCCCTGATGAGACTCATTGCGATGAATCATAGCAGTGAGGGCCTCACCCTGATCAAGGCTTTGCCAATAATCCTGCAGCCACATTTCTTTCCAACTGAAACAAAAGGAGAGACATCATCACAAATAATTAAAAGCCCCAAATCAGTCTGCAGCTGTAATAGCACTGAAACCATGTTTTTCTTTCCCTTAAGATGAAAACAGGCCCAGAGATGGTCACAACAAAGTATGTTGTTAGTGTGCCACTGTGCTTTAAGTCATTTAAAGAGACTTGCTTTGAAAATTCTCTGTAGCAAATATAAGTTCACTGTTAGCTTTACAATATTCTAGAAGTATCAGTATATACTATCACTACCATGTTAACCACAGAGACTAAATTACTAATTGCAGAGAATAAAAACTTCTATTAAAATAAAATCTATCACAGAGTACTTATATTATTTTGAGAGTAGATTGTAGTGACTGACCACAACCTGACACATACAACTGCCTGTTCTACAGCTTTCTTCCTTAAGCTTACTTGGGAGTGAAACCCAGCAGTCCAAATACAAGTGAAGCTGCAAGCATAAGGATTGAGAAACGACATCCCCACACATACAGCTGAAGGTGTAATAGTGCTCCAGCTACATACACCTACACAGAGAGAGATTCTGATTGTAGCAGCATTCTGACAATTCAGCATATTTATCAACCCTAAAACCAAATTACGTCTGGGAATAAAGATTACAGAGCATGTAAATGCGTAGAGTAACCTTACTGTAACTGGGTATATGCTCTAACATAAACTCCTTTGTTGTCCTCTGAGTTCAGAAGGCTCCAGAACCAAAGTCACAATGTGTTTATAGTCAGACCTTGCACGGTGCATACAGTCTAGCACTTGTATCCCCACTACATCTGTGTCATTTTTTCACAATAATGTTTTTCTAAACTAACAAAACACTCCACAGACTGGCTCAGTAGGCATTCATCTAAATTGATCACACTGTTAAATAACATTACTGTCAAACTCAGACAAAAATATGGGTATGCTTAACTAATGTTTTGATGGCAATTTTATGCTATTATTACACCAGTTAGAATTATAAGTAGTCATGTTCCATTTTGCAAATAAAAATGGGTAAAGCTTAGATGCTTATCAGATAGCAACTACTGTATTTAACAGGAGATGCCCACGATCATGCCTTGGGAACTATGGACACATATCTTTATAAAGTAAATAGCAGTGAATGTAAAAGCTTCCCCTGAACAATTTTTCCAGACACATCTCATGCCTACAGATGAGGAGAGTAACAGTGAGACACGGAATCTTCCCTGGGATGAAACTGTAGCTTGAATTATGGACCAGCTGTTCAAAACTCCCTGCTGATGAGCTCTGTGAAGAATGATGGAAGCACCTGGGCCTGCACGTGGGACCGGCAGCAACTCCGTGTGTGCCTCCACAGGTACTTCTCTACTGCCACCTGATGCTCAAACAGAAAACCTATGGAGCCGGACCTCCTATGAACTCTCCAGAGAAGGGCGATGCACAGCACACTACAAAGAAAAAAGCCATTTCGCCGCCGAGACTGAGAAAAGGCTTTACCATAAAAAAGCTCCTGTAAATCAGTCAACCAACAGAAAACAAGGGACAAGAAGCTAGCTGCTCTATCTGTTTTCTGTCCTGCACAATCCCTCTTCTAAATAAGTGGCATCCTCGAACACAGCCAGTGTTTTGTTGCACAGAACAGCATTAAGTATTGTGGGTGAGCCTAATTTCTGCTCTGAAGTCTACAGGAGTCAACCGGGCCTGCAGTGAACATTGGCAACCCCACTGTAACGCAGTACTTTGTAGAGTTACAGAGCTGCTTTTGTCTGAGGGCTGCCAAGTGCTTTACCATCACTGTACTGAAAAACATCCCTCCCTCAAGCAAAGAGGCCAAGATAGACAAAGGATAACCCCACTGCCTGAGGTAACAGCACATTTTAACAGAATATCCTGAGTGTCACACTCCACTTTAACTGCTAGCACCACTGTCCAAGCCTCTCGTTCAGCCTCAGCATGACACAGTATTAGCAGTACGCCCTACACCACCCACAAGACTTAATACAAAATGTAACTGGAGAAGTAACAAGAGCTCCTTTAAGTACAAAGAGTTATTAAAGTTACAGCTCCTGTTGAAGCTTTTTCTCTCTTCAAAAAGCATAATATTGGCACGTTACCTGTCTCCACCAGAGAGGTCTTCAACACTTCCAAACCCAGGGGTTGGCATAGGACATCCCATGTGCTTGAACTGAGCTATATGAGGTCTGGGAGCTGGAATTTTTCCATGAGACTTCTTGTGTTCCTGCTCCTCTTTGACCCGGGTGTTCTCCTTGTCACAGATGAAACACTCGAAGCCATTCAAGTAATTGGGCAGAGTCATGTCATTCACACCCCACTCCCGCTTCTCCAAGCTCTCTAGCAAGAACTGGTTTTTGATTCCACCAGCATTTTTATACTCTAAATACTTCAAATATTCCTCTCCATTCTTGTCCAGGAAATCCAGATACTTTGCCAGCTCTTGGGGGCTGTCAAAATCATCTATAAGAATGATGGAGAGGTTGTTTGGCATCCAGTCCCGCACAGCTGGGGAGCCTCGATACACTGGGACAGCACCCAAGTGCATGGGACGCCACAGCTTCTCTGTCATGTAGTCATCACATATGGCATTCTCCAAGGCCAGATGGAACTTGTACCTGGCAATAAAAGTCATAAATTCAGAATCTTCTGTAGTGGCTGTAGAAGTGTCTCTCAGTCGCTCACTGGGGAGCTCACGGTTGTGCAGGCATTTACCATAGGAGTCAACCTAAAATAACAAACAGCATCTTTACAAAGTGATTTGTTCCCCTGGAACTTGTTTTCAGACCTTGTGGTTCTTGTAAAATTCCTAACTTGGATCAGTTCGTATGTTAATTTAGCTTCATTTTCACTCCAAGGTCTTCCTCTTGAGACTATTCCTAGAGTCCAAGTTCTACAAGCTTTAGAGAAAACCAAGTGCTGAGTTCCAAAAGCAACATTAGCCACACTACAGACTGAGGGGCAAGGGGGGCACGCAGATGCCACCCAAAAATGTATTTCTGGACAAAACAGAAACCAGCAAGTAAAGAATAGCATTTGACTCTATGTCAATTTAAAGACTCTCTTTCTACTTAAGAGACATAGTGCTCTTCCAAACAGTTATTACACAGAGTTCCAGCCAGTCTCAGCAAGCTGACAGAATTTTTCAATTGTTAGACTGAGAAAAACTGATACAAAGAGCTAAAAGAATACTGTCTAAAAATACAAGAGAGCATGCTTGAGCTGGAACCTGCACCATACTTTGAGAAGACAGTAATTTTAAAAAAATTATTTTGCTTTTGCTTCACTACTCAGTACATGATGACCTGACCTTACACAGTAACTGAATCATGACCAATAGAAACAACAGAAACCACTAGAAAAAAAGTCTCTGGCAAAGTCTAAAAACCAATTTTTTTTTTAATCAATCTAATATCCTTCACACTTTTTAAGAGAAAAAATGCAGTTTTTCCTGCTTGGAAGAACCATTACTTTACTTTATGAAGCTACTCACCATCAGCTATACCATAGCAGTACAAGCCATCATAGAAACAATTTGGTCCTACCACAACACAGGTATGGAGCAGATTCTCACAACAGAGCAACCTGCCTTTTAATTTCACTCCTGTACTTTCAAACGGGAGCGAGATTGTAAAGGGACAGCCTTCCTGTATGCTAACTTCAAAACCCAGAGATTTCAGCAACTTCTGGCACTTGATCCACAAGACCGAACTTATTCAGGCTTTGCCCAGCTTGTGACTGATCCCGAGTGCGGCCAACTCCACATCTAACATCTGCATCAGGCCTACCTACTGGCATGCGGTGTAGTCTAGATCACGCTTTGGGAAGGAATACAACTAGTTTTTCTGTCCAGCTTGTAGTCAGCATGCATCCCGTTATGATTCGCGTCATGGCTAAAAACAAGGACAAACAAACCCCATTAAAACGAGGCGGTAGAGGGGAGCAGCCAGGTGTTCCCAGCTCCGAGAGCAGCCCCACGCCACAGCTTCCCCGTGCACTCAGCCCACCTACCTGGATGTACTTCATGAGCTCCCGCACGTAGCGGTCCCGGTCCGAGGGCACATCGCAGTGCGACTGCATGTACAGCACGGGGCCGTAGCCCTTCCGCCGCCACGCGTCCTTCTCGGCCAGGGGCACGGCCAGGGCCCGCAGGTACGCGGTGCCGGGCAGCCACTGCAGCGTGAGCGGGTAGTCGGACTCCCGGCGGAAGGTGGCCGTGTAGTTGAAGAGCCGGATGCCGGGCGAGTGCGAGAGCACGTAGTTGTTCATGGGCGACTCCTCGTGGAAGAGCGCCCAGGTCTGGTGGGGCAGGCGGGGCAGCGGCGCCTCGTACGCCCTGAAGTCGGTGCCGTAGAAGATGAGCGCCTTGGTGCGGCGGTGCCGGGCCACCCGCCGGCTCCGGGTGACGAGGCAGGAGCCGCGGGGGCAGTCGATACGTTCCGTGTCGCCGGGGAAGTGCGGGAACAGGCTCCCGCTCCACCACAGCAGGATGGGCAGCGCCTTGTTGCTCCGCGTGTCGTTGTTGCCGGGCCCGCGGTACGACGCGGCGGCGACGAAGGCCGCGCCCGGCGGGACGGCGTCCTGCGCCCACCCGTCCGCCCCGCACGGCTCGGCCGGCTCCTCCGCGGCCAGAGCCACTGCCGCGCTCCAGGCCAGCCCCAGCGTCACCCACAGCCCCGCGGGCCCCCACCCCGGCCCGGCGCCCCCCATGGCCGGCCCGCCAGCCCCGGGCCCGCCCCAGGAAGCGGCGCTGGGCCCGCCCCCGGTGGTGCCGTCACGGGGCGGGGAAAGGCCGGAGGGGGGCCGGACGGGAGCGGCACCGCCTTCCCCGCCCCTCTCAGCTCCGACTGTCAGCGCGCCTTTCAAGTGGCTCGGAGGGGCAGCGCCAGCCCTGCTGCAGCGGCCCGACGCGGTGACCTATTGGCAGCTCCCTCCCAACCCCACTGTACAATGGCTGAAGCTGCCGTGAGCCTCTCTGCATCCATCTGCGCTAACACCGGCCCCGCAGTACCTGCAGCTGACAGGGATAAAGCCGAGCTGTTCCCCGAAGGCACAGCATGCCGCGACTGAACACACCTGCAGAGAGGGCTCCTGGACCAAGCAAGGGGGCAGCTGTTACAAGAAAGAGCCCCTCAGCTCCTGTTGGAGACCATAAAGGGAAGGAACAGGAAACAACTTTTACTAACAGAAATCTTATGTTAAGGTTTTTGGGGTTTGTGGTTGTTGGTTTTTTGTTTGTTTGTTTTTTAATATCTACAGGTAATTTTAAAGCTCCCTTGACAGCTCCTTTTCTATACAAACCTTGAATAATTCCTACAGTATTAAAATATTCTGTAAATGGGAAAGTGGTTTGTGCTACTATGTAAATCCAACAGACATATTCTAGAATTACAACTCAGTTGCTTATTTACATAATTGCTAAAAGCTTCACATTAACTTCTTAAGATACAATATAATATTCATGAATTATCAGTTATAATACAGGACATTAGTTAGTATGAACACAAGGCAAAGAAATATTTTCAGCTATGTTACAAACAAGTTAAAGAGGGAATAGTTTTTCTTTCCTTTGAAAAGTTAGGTGTAGACACTGCTTAGGCCTGCTCCAACAGCACCACAGTGTCCTCCACCTGGGCCTGGAGAGAAGGTAACAGACATGGGCTCTCCACAGCAATTTCCACAAGCATCAGAATGTGCTGCACAATTTACTCCACACAATTAATGTACAAGATCCACAAGGGCCGTCATTATCACACCAGTTCTGTGGCAGATTCTGGACATAATGTACATTCTATAGGAGAGGAATGTCAAAAATATTCGACAGCAAATTTAGTATTATTGGATATTTAGCAAAGATTCAAAGATTGTCTTGTGCTTTCATACAGATTTGTTATAAGGCTATCCGCAAACTGTACAACAGCAATATTCATGGGTACAGTCAAGATAACACTGCCAGTTCACGCTGAACTTTTATTTTTGCAATTAGCAACACTCCCAGCAAAAAAAACCACAACCCAACCCAAAAAAAAAAACCAAAAAAAACCCCCAAACCCAAACCAAAAAAAACCCCCCAAAAAAAAAAAAAAAATCCTAACCAATTCACCCAGGTACCTTTAATTCTGAAATATGAGCTCTTTTAAGACTGCTGAAGTCATTAATTTGACATTGTCACAAGGTAAGGGCAATATTTCCTTAAGTAGACCAAAAAACCCTCCACCCAGTCAATGACTCAAGCTGTGTCAGCAAAAAAAGGGAATTTCTTTGTGAAATGGAAGTTCAGACAGGGCAGAAAGTCAAAAACTAATCAGCTAAATAAAGGAATACTGAGATTAAACAGTACCTTTTGTCTGTTGACTCTTGTTGAATTTCTTATCATTCAGTGCGAATAATAACAATGACAAAAAAAGAAAGACTGAACTTGGTTAGCAAAGATTGGATTGTAAAGGATCAATGAGCTAGACTTCAGCCCTTCCCATTTCCCCCCTCCCCGCAAAATACAGGGTTTGGAAAAATAAGCAGTGTTTATTTACTAACAATGACATAAAATACATCTTAATATATTTTTATTTCTTTACAAATTAAAAGATGCATTGGAAAAACAAGTGAAGAAAATGAAAGGTTCATTCATGATTTCATTTCCACCCCCACACCCCCCAATATTAATACTAGAAATTAGTATTTGTGGAAGTCTGTGGTTGCTGTGCATTATATTCCTGGGAAGTTCTTTTTTCCCCCTCTGATTAAAAATCCTCTAGATTTTTTGGTTGGAGGCAGTATGTGGAGTAAAAAGTCAGCCACATTCATACAAAACCGCTGAAAGTTCTGTCAACTACATCTTGAAAGAGTTTCTACATTACAATTTTCATGTTCCCCTTTCTGTGTAGTGATGGGAGGGAAGACAAACTAGCAGCATTAGAAGAGAAATGGATTTATATACATGCTACAGGATATGGAACTAAAACCACAGCCAGATATTTTTCTGATCTTAACAAGGACTTTCCTATGAAATATCAAGCCCAGATAACATGTTCTCTAATCCATCCACATTCTTCCTTTCACTTTTAGTGCTATTGGTAGCTTAAACTCCTGGGTACTGGAAGAACACCTGTTAAGTGTTCAAGTTAAAATATACAAGCCCCCTTTCAAAAGTAAATAAACAAAGCCCTTAGAATTCTGAATTTGATTACACTAGCTCCCTCTTCACAGGAGTCTTCTCATCCACCCCTGCAAAATGGAGCAGCAGAGCAGCCAAAGCAGATGGATTAATCTGAGGTATTTTAGTTTAACAAACAGGCTTATAAAAGGTTTTGTGCAAGCTGATCAGTAGACAGAATGTGGAGGGTATAAACATCCAGTAATGAAACACTTTGCTATGGCCCAGGTGCTGTCAATAGCCGAAATCAGGTACTTGCAATACCTATTACAGTAGTCTAAATCTTAAGGTTTTGTATCCCCTTCCTTGTGTTCCAGGGTACAAAGCACTCTCAAATTCATGTCAGTATAAATCAAATTCCTGCTTGTTGGCTATGATTCACAAAAATATGGTTGAAAATGGCCACTTCCTTATCATTCAGTTCCTACACAGTCCCTCGTCACCTTGTTAAAGGTATTTTCTGCTTAAGGTTAAGAAGCTTTTGTTCCCACCACCATCTGACAGACAGGTAAACTCTGCAGGAGAGGTCATGGAACATGGATTGAGTAGGACAATACGGAGCCGTGCAATGAGAAGGAAAGGAGTCACCACACATGTCAACAGGAAGTACCATCTCTACCCCTACACTGCTCAGAAGCTGTTGATTTTTGCCCACTTAACTACTGATTACTCCATTACAGTTCTGCACAGCAACTTATAGTACGGGGAAGATTGTGGAGAGAAGTTTGCCCTGCTGCCTCCTGGCTTACCACTCATTTCATGTTTCATGGCTTTCTGGTTTGGACAGCCACATGATACATCTGTGCTCTGACAGATCATGTTTCCCTCTTTAAAGGAGACACAAAATGTTTGGCTGCTCCAGCTCCCATCACCTGACCTGCCTCTTGCCCTCCCCACCTGTGCATCCTCTTCACACTTGGAGCATGCACACACACCCACACAAATGCACAGCAGCTACCAGAAGTTTTGAAGAGTTATCGCTTTTCACCCAATGTTGAATCATGTACAGTGAACTGAAAAAAACCCTACATTCATTACAACAGGATTAGCGAGCATGGGGTGGGGTGGGGGGTGAACTCCTGCCAAGCACAGGAAACAATTTAGATGCAAATAAAAGACCTGGTATCAAAGGCCTTTTTCTTTTTTTAGCCCTCACCAGGAAAATATTTCATCTCTCATATGGGATTGGGAAAGGTTGAAAGGATTTCTGCTAATGCAATGTGTATTAAAAATTATGGAATTGTACAGATTTCTATGTTGTCCTTTTTGAGGGCGCTGGGCCTTCTGATCAGGTCATTAGTGGAGACTGAAATGTCACTGCTGAGTTCTAGCACCACTCACTCCTCTAGCTCAGTAGCTGCCGAATCTCCTTGTGCATGTGACACAGGAAGTCCACATATGAAGCCCCCCCACTCAGACTCTTGTCCTCCACTAGAAAGTGTTTGAACAGCATTTCCAGCTTATCTTCTTGCTTCACAATTATCAACTACAAGAAACCAAACAAAACAAGAACAAAACCAATAGTGAGTAGCTATTAGAATACATCTTCATGGGGAAAATGGAGCAAAAAGCTAAATGCTGAAAACTCCAAACACAGCCAGCCAGAATCACAGCATATATGGCTTATGTGCTTTGACTTCTGTAACTTAGCTGGGTTAAGCCTCAATGCTTTCTAAACAGAAGGAAAATACCATCTATGTAGTTCATATAGTAGTGTATTGTAATAGGTCTGAAAAAAGGAAGTTTTAGAACTATGGTAAGCACAAAACACCAAAACTAGTGAAATTTGTTTTCAGATTCTTGAAAACTTCAAATAACATTTATGAGATTGGGAAGAGTAAGTTCAGGACTGCAGCATCACCAGGCATCACCTGACTCTACTAAGAGAGAAGGGGATTTAAAGCTGTAAATGGGGGACATTTTTACCTTCATGTAGCGGGATCTCTGCCCTTGAAGCATATCAACAACAGACCGCACTTTCTTTGAAAAGGGGTTTTCCAAGACTGGCAGGGTACTCTGGAATGAAAGATATCCAATCCCCATTAGTCTTGGGAAATAGAGCAATGTTAAACAGAAGTCAGCAGTTTTGGCATACTGCAAAAGGGTAGAGAAATATCTACCCCATTAGCATACAATCTCTTGAACTTCGACTACTTAGAAAAGAATACGACATGAAATCAGAATTAGACATCAATTATTTATTCCATTTAGATATCAACTGTTCTCTTCACTGTTAATGATATGACTTGTCAAATAAACCTAGGCAAAAGCATGCCTGACATGCCCATACTATCAATATTTCACACATCTGTGCTTCTCTCATTTCTATTAATGAAAATGAAATGCTATTTTTTTCTGCTGGCTTTCTCATAGTTTTAAGTATTGGGTGACTATCACAGACTCTAGCTCCCACACTGCCATCCAGCTCACCAAGGCATTGCTAATTTGACTGAAGGATGACACTCCAAAGAGGTTCTGGATCAGGCTTTGCTGCACGTTGACTCCCACCCACACAAAGATGTTCAGCCCATTCTCCAGCAGGTAGATGTCGCCCTTG